TAATACATAAAGTTTAATTAAGTTGTAAAAGTTACAAAGTATAGCCATAAATTCTAAAAATTAAATTGATATTAATATTAATTTAATCCAAATTTCATAAAATATTTGTTAAAATTTTTTGACAATAAATATGTTGGAATGCTATTCGATGTTTATTATATGGATCATCAACTAGTCCGCAGTCAAAAAAAATTTTATATGTAAATCCAATCCGGATTCCGGTTTCCATCTGGATTATCTGACCCGGATATTAATCCGGATCAATCCGGATAGAATCCGGATTTTTTTTTGTGTAATCCGGATGACGGTTTTCATCCGGATCGAAGCACTAGTTGGAACGTCGTTAACTTCAGTTATTAAATGAAATTTAATTTATAATTATTTAAAATTATCTTTCATTGCTTATTCAATTTCGTTATTGTTTAATTGTAATTCAATTTCAAAAGTAATTTTTAAACAGCCTATTAATTCAAGATATTATTTCTCGTTCATAAATTGTCAAGGAACATGATTGTTCATCGTCGCCATCTTACTTATTTTCTTAGTACTAGTTTGACGATATAAATAATTTTGAACCATAATAACTAGATAATTATAACAATTTTTCCTTTGCTTTTTCTCTCTCGTTTCTCTTCTGATATTTTTCAGCTTGATTCATGTTATACTATAATAAGTTCGGAAAAAAGACCAATGATTATATTTTGGTTATGCAATATGCAAGCGGGAAGATTTACGTCAATATCTTCAAGATGATTTTGTTGAAATTGATTGATATCAGTTATTAGGAATAACAAAAGGACTAAAGGTTATATATATCATGGATACGTACATCGTGATTTTCATAGTGGAAACGTTTTATCAGATCTTTCGGAATCTTTTGAATAAGAAGAAAATGAAAACTCAAAATACAATGTTACACAAAAATATGATATGTTAATTGATTATGTAATATATTTTTTGATTCCTTATCATATAGTAAAAAGCTTTATTGTTCGGAGCATAGCGAAGGACTATTTATTGTACGAAACTAGATAAATTTGTAGTACCGGTTTAACCCATGTATTGTTCCTTCCTTCCACCTACGTCACTATCCTGCTTATTTCTTTTATGTTTTGTATCACATTTTTTGTAACGAGCAACACATTTTGTAATGTAATACAGTATATGTAAATTATAGCGATGGACCCTCAACGGTTTCCGTTTTCCTAGTATATAATACCTTAAATAGCAATGGAAATATTATCAAATATTGGTAACAATGACGAAAAGGAAGAGATATCATATACTAAAGCTTCAGACTTTTATTCTTCCACGATGATAACAATGCCCCTGTTCAATTCAGCTCAGTTGCATTTTTCGGTCACATGCATAATAAACAATTTCTATTGGTGAAACACGTTCGACCAAAAAAACCCAAAAATTTTATGGGTTAAAAGGTCGGATATTTCACGTGTTATGCAAAAAATCAGACAAATAAACCCGACCTAAAGATGCAACCAACCAGAATTGAACAGGACTAATGTGGGAGGTCACAATCTTTTGTTTATTTTCTCATGATGAAAATTTAATAAAAAGAAATTATTAAGGGGAGCGTGTAGTTACGTGATTTATAATAAGAAAATTTAAAATATGAAGCCCAAGAACAAAGTACTTTAGGTTGAATAATTATGTATTATTTTGTTATTATTTTTGTAAAGACATGTGAAAAAACATACCTATAGAATACAATATATTAAATTAATAAATGATAAAATGTTTTTTGCTAAAAAATAATATTATGTTTTCCAATAGAGAGATTCTAAAACTTTCACTAAGCGATTCGCAACCTTTTTGGAACTTCTTTTGATATTTTTTTCCAAAATATAATATTTAAGTCTAAATAAAAACTATACCTGGTGAACTTTCGGGTTCCAAAAGGTAAGAAAATAATATATTTTTTTAAATATTTAGTAATTTACAAATGTTTTATTAGGCCACACAAATTCAATTTTTTGGTTCACGTAACATTGAAATTTAAAATCGACCTGGGGACCCGGGGTTTATTGTTTATTAATAAAAAAAGTTTATATATAAATCGTGACATCTGATTGGTTGACTTTTAAAGGGGAGGGTAATTAAAGAATTTATTTTTGCAAGTTCTCAGCCACGTGATAAACTTTCCCGCCAATAAAATTACGTCCCTATCACATGATAAACTTTTTATATATAAACTTTTTTTTATTGAAATTTGAAAAAGTGACCCAGCCGGGTGAAGTGAACCGAAAAATCGAATTTGTGTGGCCTTAGACACGGACGTACTGAATAAGCACAAAAAAATTTTTTTGCCAATTGAAAGTCACGTGATTACACTCTCCTTAATGATTTATGTCCTGAAATTATTAAAGGAACTCCAAAATCGTATTTAGATTTTAATGATAAATGGTTAGGATAATTCACCTTTAAATAGACCAAATATTAATGAAATTATTGAAGTACCAAAATTCAATGGAATTTAAATCGAAATAGCAATTCTTTTTTAATAATTATGAAAATCCTGAAACTTTTTATTTTAGCAGAGATTTAAATTTCTAAAAATTTATTTATAGTAAAAATAATAATATATATTTTATAATTTGTTAAATAAAATTTATTGTATCAAATAAAATAATATATAATACATATCGTTAATAATAAAATATCAATGATTAATAAAATTTGTTATATCTAGTTGAAAATTTGAATAAATGTTTACGTTTCTTACTATAAAATTGAGTTGCTAACATTTTATGAAATATCCTACATCATACAAATATTTTCCCAGGAGTAGATAGTATATTTCCAACAGGTATCAATTTTAATTTTCAATAAAAATTCCTAAAACGAAAGATTTCTTTTTATAGATAAAATGGTTCAATATTTAAAAAATTTTCAATTCTAATAATATTAATAAGAAAGTAAATAATTATTTATCAAGGATATCTTTTAAATCAAGTAAGTTTCCCATTTCTTTTCTTGAAAAGTACATGTCACTGAAAGTTTCTGGAACATTTGGGCAAATTTGGTGATCTGGTAACAACAAACTCACATTTGGAATGTGAGTTATCTTATGATGATTATAGTGTTTACGTCCAGATCGAATATAATCTATTTGCTATGTAAATTAAAGAATATTATATTTTAATTTGTTCTGAAAGGAAATTTGCCTTGAATAAGTAAATAGGAACATACCATTTCAATAGAATTTATTTCAATTGAAAGTTGAAGCTTATTTAAACTATATATTGGAAGCGCGTATTCAATCCAACCTAATCCCTCGAGTTTTGACACAACTTCATGTTTTAGTGTATGATCTTCTTGGTGATCCTATAATTAAGTCAATATTAATTAAAGTTAAATAAAATAAAAGAAATTATCATAAATAATTAACTTACATCACTATATAATTTTATAAAGCAGTCTTTAGATAATATTTTTTTAATATTTATTTTACAAATAGGATACTTAAAATAGAATGGCAAATCCAAACGAAGTTTTTCATTTTTAGAACGCAATATCCGCCCCAATAAACTTTGATTTTAAAATTACGGTTAATTTGGTTAATTTGTATTTAAGACAATCTGACTTAAAGTATTATTATGAATAGACTTTACCTGCTTGTATCACTTTCTTGAAATTGACAAAGTTCACTATTTAAATTTGTAAGGTTTGAAATAAAATATACTTCTTTTTCTAATGAGTTTAAGATATTTATTATCTTGAATAGAAGAAAATAAACAATTTAAATATTTCTTACCTCTATACATGTATTCACTAAATTTATCAACAATTCCATCAGTAAAATAATATCCAATAATTCTACAAGATTTATATAAATAAAACCAAAAAACTGAATGCTTTCGTAATAAATGAATATATGACAAACAATTCTTGGAAACATTATATTCAAATAACGTATCAAAATACATTTTTGCCATGCTATAATCTTTTAATTCAATATATATTTTACATCTAATAAAACATGATAGTAAATCACTCATCATAGGAATTCGATCATTTTTTGTTAATATATTGTATAATTCTTTAGAACTATTATTATTTAGTAAGTACTCTAGATGAAATAACTGAAACTTTGTCAAACTATTATTAGAATTTAATAATGCTGCAAGCTTTTTAAATGATATTTCAGCATTATTAATATCATTTTTTGTATAATACGTTAAACTTTTAAGATAATATGCTGAACTATTTAATGGATCTGATTGTATAATTTTATCAAGATCTGATAATACATTATCATATTCCTGAATAGTATAGTATGCAATAGCTCTCCTATTCAAATTATGAATATTTTCTGGGTCTATGATATTTGCTTTTGTAAAATATAATATAGCTTTACTATAGTGTGTCATATTACATAAAATTTCTCCATAGTAACATAAAACCAAAGAATCCTTCTCATTAATATTTAACAATCTATCTAATATCATTAAAGCATTTAAATAATCTCCTTGATTTTCATAAATATATGCACAATTTTTAAGGCATAAATAATTATTTGGATCATTTTTTAATGCAATATCATAATATTCCATGGCCATATCATAATGATTAACACATGAGTAATGTAAATAACTATTTCCAAGTATTATGTATAAGTTATTTACTTTTGCTTTGCAATCTAATGATTTTTTTAAATTATATATTGCTTCAGAATAATTACTTTGACTAAAATATATTTCACCGCGAATAAAATAAGCAACTGGTCTTTTGGGATTTAAAAGAATAGCTTCTTCTAAATAGAAGTGTGCTTGTTTATAATTGTTAAGATATCTACAAATATAAGCTAAAATGCATTTTAAAGAATAACTTTTAGAAAATAAATTTAAAAATTCTTTACATAAAGTTTCAGCTTTTTCATAATGTTTTTCATTTAGTTCTTTTATAATATTTTGATATGTTGGATGTTGTTTTTTTGTAATTCTTGAGAATATTGATGATGATATTTTTGAATTTAATTTATTAATTGAATTCATAAAATTCTTTTTTTTAGTCAATATAAGATCAACTTCTGAATTATCCGAATCATCACTGTCATAAAGTTGATCAGAATTTACTAATTCAATTGAAGGTAAAATATGTCCAGATTCAAAAAATTTTGTATACAAATTTTTGTAAATTGAATTTTGTGATAAATATCTAATATCGCTATCTTCAATTTTTTCACGACAATTAGGACATATCTTTTGTTTTAACTTTTTTAGGTTATCTAATGATAATATGTGTTGACATTTTAAAATACATAATTGATCTGTTGGTTCACTACTAATTGGACAAGTAATTTCATCTGCTATAACATCTAAAATATTAGAATTTGATATTTGCTCTTTTTTTAAATATAAATTTTGATTTAAGCTTTTTCCTTTTCCCTCTTTTCCCTTTCCAATATTATTACTTAGAATTTTTAAATCTTCAGAGTATTTCTCTTTAACGAAAGTTAATAAATTTCGAAATTTTTCTAAAGAATCTTCCAAATTATTATCACTTAATTTTTGTATATATTGATCAAAATCAATTTCAATCATTGAAAACATTTTATTATCAATATTATATAAATATAATAATAATTCAATTGATTTAAACTGAATAAAACTACTTGGTGCTTTATTAAGTGATTCAATTGCCAAATAATAACAAAGACCATATGTTGTTATTCGAGATGATCTTTGGATAAGATTTTGTGCAAGATCTAATATTCCAAACCACAAAGTATGTGGTAATGCAATAGGTTCATTTCCAGCAATTTCATTTAATAAACCTCCAGCATTTTTCAAAGTTTTAGCAACTTTATTTGATACTTCATCAAATTTTGTTTGAGAATCTAAAATAGATTTGTTCGCAGTATTAATCCATTCTCTTCCCAAAAAACTCCAGATATATTCCATTAATACCAATTCACCAAATTTTTTACTTATAATCTTTTCAGAACTTTCAGACCAAATGAAAAGATTATGTTGAATTATTAACATAATTCTCCAATCTACATAATAAGATGCTACCGGATATTTAAAACTTAAACTCTGACGTATTTGAGTAAGTAGTGATAAGATTGAACAATTATCATTTGGAAGAGGAACTCCTGCTATTGATAAAATTCCTGGTGTAATATTTAATGCAGCTTTAAGAAAATCTTTAGTTCTTCGTATAATTTCTTGAAACCAAGTTTCATCATCACGTAAACTATGAAGAGTATCTCGCAAATGGATTAATAAAAAATCAATATTATAATTACGCTTTTTAATTTCAACCTGATCATTATTTTGTTGATTGAATTGATTATAATTTGATCTAAAATTATTATCAAGTCCTATTTCGATAACTTGAGTTGTTTTACGATGAATTTCTGCAAATTTTGCCAAAGAATTATAAATTTTATCTCGAAGTTCTTTACTAAGTACTATTGGTGAAAAACATATCCGTTCTAAAACAATAACCAAAATTCTTAAATGTAATTCTAATCTAGCCACACTTTCTTTTGAATAATGTTTAAAAGAAGTATCAACTAAAGCTTCTAATGAATTTTCTAAAACTTGAGACGAAAACTCATATTGTAAATTTTCAAAAAGTAATTTAATTGTGTACAAATAACTTGATTTAGTCAGATGCTTTAAAAGTTCTTCTACTTTATCATCTGGTGTAGTGAATCCATCCTCTTCTAATTTGAGAAGGATACGATTATTGAACAGATTTTCATGCAAAATCGTTTTATATAAAGCAAAGTCATTATGTTCTAAGTTACCAGGAACAGTATTGGTAGAAGAATTTCCACTCTATTATTAAATAAAATGTTAAATTTTAATATTAATATAAAATGAATTTTTCCAAAAAACAATATACCATTGCTTAAAATAATAATTTACCTGACTTGAGCTTCCTTCCATATTTTTTTATTACGAAAAGAAGTAAAGAAAATATTAATTCTATACCAACAGAATTAAGTAAAAAAACAATCAAAATGCATGGCATGAATTTTGTACTTCCACTTATTTATTAATGTAACGATTGTAACGTGTCGCAAATATTTCGTAAAGTTTATAATTTAAGTAAATTCTAAATGCTGATCAGCGAGAGTTCATTCTCAAATATTACTTAATAAATGATCGACGATCACGTGCGCCACTGCGCCACTTCCGAGTTAAAAAAATTAATAAATCTTTCTTATTTTACCAAAAAATGCGTCAATTTATTTTAAAATCGATAATTTGCAAAAGTGAGAAGGAAAAAATTTAATAATTCTAAGTTTTTCAACCGAAAAAAATAAATTTAAAAATAAAATAATGAAACTTATTAACACATAATTATTTCTCCAAAGAAACTCTTCTATGTCTACGAGGCCGTTTAAGTACCAAACCTAGAAGATAAAAAAAATTTCAAGTCATCCTAAACCTAAAAAAAAAAAAAAAAAAAAAAAAAAAAAAAAGTAAAAAAAATGAAAAATAATAAAAATGTGTTACCATCCCAATCAAGTAATTACTATAACCAATTATACCTTTTTAGAAAATAAATAAATATTTATAAATCCAATTATAAAGCAGAATAAAAAAAAAAAAATACAAATATATATAAAAAAACGTAAAATGATGATAAAAAATATGGGACTATCTCCTCAAAGAAACTCACTTAAATTCTCAAGGATATAAATATGCTCAAAACAAATTAAAAGTATTAAATTCATCCGCTCATTTTTTGAAATGCCATGCATATTAATAACACTGTAGTTCATCAAATTTTTTTTTTATTATCACAATTGTTAAAATACTTGTTTATCGATTCAAAATCTTTATCCACAGAATTTATGCATTTTCTAAATGTTTAAATTTCTTTGCGAGTGAATAATTTTCGTAATCAAATTCGAGTACTAATTTTCCTTATTCATCTTATTTCAATCGTTACAAATAGGAATTTTTTATATTTCATTCCGTTAAAATTTGTTAGATTCTCTATACACCCCTATACGACCTAGTATTTCCCACGTTTGCTCGCCCTCTTTCATTTGAATTTTTTTTATTTTTTTCTTTCCTTAATATTGAACGTAAAACCCATAAATAATTTAATTTATTTTTTCCTTTCACATAAACCTACCTTATGGAAGAATAATTCAAAATATTCATCTGTCAGAATTTGCTCAAGGTATGTAATTAGGTAGCATAATGTTGGCAGAATAATGTTGGTTTTAAAGTAGTGTTGGCTTTAGAGTGGTAGTTGGCTGTGGAGCAGCTTAGGGTTAGGGTAAGAAGGGTGAGTTTAGGTTAGGTGCGTTGTCTTTAGAGTAGCCAGTGTTGGTTGGAGTAGCTTAGGGTTAGGATAAGGAGAGTAGATGATTTCAGGTTATAATAGTAAACATTCCTATATTTTATTACATTTTTTTTGATTTAAGATTTTTGCTGCACCATTTAATTTAAATCACATGACGTATTTAATTCTGCCAAAAATTAAATGATCAGCATAAAAATATCTTTTTGGAATAAAGGCGATCACACATTTTCTTATTTTAAATATATGCATAAAATAGAGCAAATTTTAAAGTTTTTTTCAGTAAAAATTTCAAATGATTTGGTTAAGAATTGAAGATTTACCTATGCAGGACACCCACATTTGAAAATACTTCACTCCTTCTTATCTGAATTATGAATTAATTGTTCAATAATAATACATAATCTTGAAAATAAAGAAATTTATACCGCAATAAAAAAAACATAATTCTAGAAAGCAATGTCTATCTACCGTAGTATAATATAATTTATTATTAATCATTGACTTTATAAGAAGAAATCATGCCAGCAATACTTATATCATTAGCTTCTTTATATTTAAATTCTTCTTGACCAAAATTAACTTTTAAACTACAAACACCATTAGAACCAATTGTAGGATACCAAGTAGTATGAAATAATCCAGTGTAAGCGATACCTAAATATTTACCGTTCATTGTAAAGAAGACTTGTCCGGTATTTGGACAATAACCACAACCTATTATATCATTTACTTCACCCCATTTTTCTGCATATTTTGAACCTGTATACCCTTCATTGTGAAATGTTCTACCTTCGTCTGAATGAAATCCAACTGAATGTGTATCACAACCAGGTAATCTTGAAAGAAAAAAAAAAATGAAAATCGCTTCATTGATATAAATATGGATTTTTATATAGAAATACCTGTCAGTCGAATGATTTTTTGTAGCGAATCCTATAGCAATTATTGTTTCATCAATATTTTTATTTGATAATATTGTTATTTCATAGTAATAATAATCTTCCGATGATGGAGATAAAGAGATGTAAGAGGTATCTTTTATTATATTTGAGATAAAAGCGACAGTTAGTAAGATGAAATTTTGATTATTAATAATAATAAAATGATATTAATAGTTCTCACCTTTCTTAAAAGCATTTGGTAAAGGATAATTTGTTTGTATCATAATATCTGATTGTGCATTAAAAGAAATTTCAACGCTATGTTCTTGTTTTGAAGTATTTTTTTCAATTTCATCATCAACATCCTCATTATTTTTGTTATTATTGTCATTTTTAATGCTTATAATCTCTAATAGTGAAATTTCTGATTCAAGTTCAAATTTCCATTCATTTATACTTAATTTTTTTAAGTTTAAGTTTTGCTCTTTTCCTAAAAAGTTTAAAAATATTTCAAAATTTTTCTCTAAAAAATTTTTTAGAAAAATCACAGATCTCTTTGTCAAAAACTGTTTGTTTTCTAAGCAAAATACTAAAATAAATAAAATAATTTAACGTTAGTATACAATATAAAATACTAAAATACTAATAACGATACCGATTTTTTACCTACTTTGTGCAACAACTTTTTCATCAATGTATTTCTGACATAAGATTGTGTTAACATTCAAAATTATTAAAAACAACACGGTTGGTATACCTGGATATATATAAATTATGTATATTAGTATATTACAACATGTTGTGCGTCAGATATCAATTTGCGTCAGTTGACAGATGACGTAAATCAAATGACGACTGGCCTAGTAATGCTGGCCAATCTACTTAAGGCATTATAATATTTGGCAATATCGGGCCGATAATGTAGGCCAACATCATCTGGCGCAAATCGGCATCATATATTAAAATAGAATTTCTTTAATTTCTTTACCAATAATAATTAGTTCCCTGTAAAACATATTTGTTGATATTGACAAAACTGGATTTCCTGATATATTTAATTTAATTAATAAGCCAAAATAATTTAAAAAAAATTCGATAAACAAAATTAATTTATTAATTACCTTCGTATAAAGAAGTAAATAAAATATAATATTTATATGATAATCCAATTATTAATACTACTTTAAATAGACTTGCAAAATAAATTAAACCATATAGAATTTTTGAATGTTTTCGTATTGCTATAAAAACAATACAAATTGGAATAATTGTAATTATACCCAATAAATCACTGATTACTCCAAAAATTATTCCAAAAGCGTCTCCTGACCGCCCATAATATAAAATGTATACTTCTAATAACCAAATTCCAAGAAATGAAGTTGTAATTAGAAATAATGTCTCTTCAAGTTGATAAATAATATGAACTGCTATAAATAGAGAAATAAATTAATACAGTAATAAAATTAAAAGAATTTTTTAAGCCTATAAAAAGATAATACCTTTTTTTTTGTTATCTAATTTAGATTTCTTAATCCATCTCCAAGATCTAGAAAAATATAATAATATTTAGTAAAGGAATGAAATTATTTAGAAATAAATATATGATAAATTACCTTATTTTCAATAGAATAAAACAAAATATTATGAAAGTAAATTGGTATATTCCTAAAGTTATTACCACAGTTATATGTTGTGGTATATAATATTTTGATATATTCTCTTCTAATTCTTTAATAATATTATTCACTTCATTATCGTCAGAATTGTCATTTATATTATTATATTTTTTTATTAACTTTATATTTGTTTGGCTTAAATGGACTAAAGTTGGAAAATCAAATACTTATTGAAATTATATTAAAAACATGAAGTCAAAATTGAGTAAGCCATTTTTTCGTAAAAATTGTAAAAATTATAATTAATACTTGTGTAACTTTTAAAAAATATTTACCTTCAATATAATGAAATTTGAAAATATTACAAAGCGCTATCATAATCGGAATAAAATTTACGATTAAAAATGCTATAGCATGCATTATGGTTTTGTGAAAGACCGCAGATAAACCGGTTAAAAAAACAAATGGAAGTGTGTACCATAGTAAGCGTGGCCAGATTGTTGGATAAACAATAAGAAAAATAATCTCAGAGATAATTAATAAAATAAATATAAGATTTAATATTCTTAATATTTTAATATTCAACATGTTTAAAATGTGCGCTTTTTAATTATATTGTATTGTATATATAGGATAACTCGATGACGTCACGTAATCATAAAATGTGCGGTCTCATTAGTCCGATTAGTTTGAAATGTATTAAACGAAATACCATTCAGGTTTCAAAAAAATGTTAAGAATTGAGTCGATGCGTGATTGGTCCATTTACTTATGTTTGTGCTCCAGACATAACAACGATTTTGAAACCATTCCCTTAATACGATCGACTGTCTTGATTATGTGATTATGTAATACTATTCTGTACGTACGCTTCAGAAAAATTCTTTTAATTTAATAGTTAATTAAACATGGTAGATATCACATTAATTACTATCACAATCACAAGCAGGTAACTAATTTATATTTAAATTATATTTCAAAGTTTGTTTCCACTTTTATTCAAAATGATATTAACAGAGAATAAGCCATCAACTGAACCTTCGTCGTTTATTTTTTTAAAAAATATGTGCTCTTTTGCTTTAATAATTACACTTATTATTTATACTTATAATCAGTTTTCACAATTTTGTGATTCGATTTCTAATCCCAATCTTAATTTCCGTCAACAAAACTTGAAAAAATCATTGTCTGACAGTCAAAATGCCAAAATTATTATAAGAGCTTGTAGTTCATACCCTATAAACTGTACTTACAATAATAATGAATGTGAACTATATGAAAACACCAATTATGATACTACTACATGTGACAGCGCTAATTCTTTCCATTATGTTCTCGACTATCAAGCAATAGTAGAAATAAATCCTTTTATCACTGAAGTTTATTTGGATGGGCTTGTATTAGACGATAAATATTATAAATCAAACACAAATTCACTTAGAAAATTATTTATTATGAATGAACAAACTATGGTCGTATATTACTCAATTACAATTAGCGAACGTATAACTGATGATTACGCATATGGTCTTGCGGGTGGTGAAGTCATGGATTTCGTTGACTTCAACGCGCATACGTCTGCTATAACCACTTCAAAAACACAAAATATAACAACCATTATATTAATGCCAGTATCAATGGATATTAATTATAAAGTGGAATCTTATTATGATTGTAACTATTCAATTATAATTGTTAGAGAAAGTAATATATAATTTTTTTTTTAACTTTATTCTTTTATTTTTAGTTAGCATGATTATATCAAATATTGGTGGATTCTTCAGTTTTTTATCTGGAATCTTTGTGTTTTTATTTGGAACAAATAAATTGGCACCATGGTAAGTTAATAAATATCAATTTATACATGCAATTATTAAGTAAATAAATATATTTGTGAATTAATAATTTATTTAATTCTTAATTCTTTCAATAGGGGATTTTTACAAACTCATGTATTTACTTGCTTATGTACAAGATATCAAAGGAAACTTATAAGGAAACTTAGAACTAAATATGAACCAATTCCATTCGTTAGTGGAAGGACCAAAAACGTCACATTGGAGGAACGCGTTCAAAGTATTGAAAATATACTCAAAGAATATTATCTTGATACTGATTTTTTGAATTCATTATTAATAAAAGACAAAATCGATTACAATATAATCGACGATAAAGTCTAAAACATTAATAGAATTTATGAATTGACCCTAATTACTTATGTGTCGTAATATTACACTACTTATGATTTATTCCTTTTTTTCTTGACCTCAAGTCAAAATTAATCCGAATGCCCGTAATAATTACTTACAGCTAGACAATTTGGTTATTTAGGTTTAGAGCAGTATAAATGTACTTAAAAGCTCGCATTATTCACACAAACAGATCGGAGTTTACGGATGTTTTTTTCTAAATTATGAATGAAATTTTAATTTTTTTTTTGAATGAAATTAATTTTATTCTTAAATTATGAATGAAAAATATGATACATTGAAGTTTTAAGAATTTTCATTGAGATAATTCGTAGTAAAAATTCGAAAATTCGAAAAATATCAGACAGAATTATGATCGACAAAAATTGGCTAATTTGGTATTTAATTTAAAAAGTGTCACGTCACACCTCAATACTTGCCTTTGTTAAAATTTAATTAAAATGAAAATCTTTGCATAATTCGATGCACGGAGAAGTAAATTCCTTATAGTCACAAAATAATCTTTACAAATAATATATGCGGCTGTACTACTTAATTCATTTTCAGTTATATATTGAATTCTATTAATAGAAATTTACTACTTAAAAAAGAAAATTTAAATATTATATTGATTTAATTAAAACTTGTGCGTAATAAAAATAAAATAATCAAAAATTATCAATTATAATTAAATATTATTCAAATCGTTCTTTATATAAAGCTTCGTAAAATTAAAGAAAAAAATTTATTGAAAATTTGAAAACTGAAAAATTCTCACATTCCAATACACAATTCCAATACACAATGTATTATCCTACATTCTTAAAAGTAATTTTTATTGTTTCTCTTTGTTTTTTAACATTGAATGTTGAAGCACAACCTCTAAATGGCGTAACTAAATCCAAACGCCAACTTAGTTGTCTACCTTCTGGTTCTCGTTGTGATAAATTTTCAAATTGCTGTTCTCGATGTGTTAAGGGTCGTTGCATCTAAGTAAATCTGCGATGGTTCATAACTTCATATCAATAAATAACAAAGTCCATAATTAAAGCGAGCGATCAATGTTAGTAATATCAATTATTAAATTTCTACAAAATATTTTTATTAAAAAATAAACTCAATAATGCTAGGTTACTTTAGAAGCATAATCAATTAATGTTTCAACCCGCCATCTGTCATTTATTTTTGGAAAGGGACATTTGTGTTTCATATTTTATAGTAAATTAGAACTTCATTCAACATAGGATGATTCAGTTATACATTATTTATTATATTATGTTCATAGAATATCTCGAAGAAAGCCTTTTTTTTAGTTATTAATTAAATTTTCGCATAATTGTCAAAATATGATTATCTTTCAGTTTCAGATGGTGGATTAAAACTCTATTTCCAATATAAATTTATATATAATAATGTACGTAGCTTTTTTGTTTTACTTAAATATTCAGTTTATTAATTATTTATTAAATAAATTATTGTTTATATTTGATATTTTAATTTTTTTATTAATAAAATAACTTTTGAAACAACTTAAGGGTACAATGTGTTATGTAAGCATGACCAAATGATGATCTGCATCTAAAAAAGGAATCCCGACGAGAACAAATTTTGTTGTTAACGTTGTGTTACGTTAACGTTAACAATTTTGTTAATTTCGTTCTTTCGTAATGTTAACTTAAGAACTCATCATATCAAAAGGTCTTTGTAATTTTTTTTAAAAAAATTTTGATTTTTCGGCTCACGTCACCTGGACGGGTTACTTTTTTCAAATTTCAATAAAAAAGATTTATCACGTGACTACAGAATGGGCGAAATTAAAGCTTTTATATTGTCTATTTATGATAACTCTTTTTTTTTTTTGTAACCAATCAATATGGCATTTTTTGTTAATTTTACAGAAACTTTTTCACCGACTAATGTTTTTGATGGCCCAAATTTCACTTCAAAATCTGCTTCCCAGTTCCCACCAATCCCATGCAATCAGATGATAAATATGAATATAAATTCGATATATTTCTATTCTTTTATTTTTGATCTTTTTTTTCAACAAGTAAACCTTCCAAATTTTTCAAAATTTCTGATTTGTAACTTATTCTAATAGGTATCCGACCAATCAGATGTCACGGTTTTGCGTATAAAGGACCCGGGTCGATTTACAATTGGTATATACAACTCTACAACGAGAATATAGATGAGTGATATGAATTGTATATATATATATACAGTATATGGTATGGTGCTAAAATTAGTATGTATGGTTAGTATGGTACCTTCTTTCATATTAATATTTGACCATGATACCATACATACAACGAGGGTCATATTATACTTATTATTGTTGTACCGCCCTACAACAGTCAAAAAAAGTGTAGGTTATCACTTATCAAAATTACCTATTTGTGTACTTTTCATACTTCCATACAACTTTTTTTTTTAAATACATACATATATTTGAAACAAGAATGCCTTCATTTACAATTCTATGCCAAATTAAATCTAATGATTTAGATGAGTTTATCAATGTTTTAGCATATTATATGATTGAAACCTGAAAAGTTTCAATTATAGAGTATTAATTCTATATACTATTTCTATTATTTATTATTCATCAAAAAATGCAATCCAAAATTTTACCTATAAACAAAAATAAATATATATATATTCTTCAATTTTAGAAAGATTTCTTATTAAGTCAAGTTATTTATCCAAGGTAATCTAGTAAAAAATAAAAATATATGATAAAAATATTAAGACTCGAGTACTCTAAGTAAGCTTTGTAGAAAAGACATATTCAAGCCCCCATGCCTACTATCAACTGGCATTAACGATATATCGTGAGTGATCAAACCCGTGCAGAGGTACTGTCACATTGATAATAAGACATGAGACCCACCACACCAAAGGGAAGGGCCCCACATACAGAAGTCTGCGACATAGCTTGAGATATTATATTATTATTTTCTCATTAAGGTAACCAGACTTCTAGAAGTGGAGGATAACCAAAGCACTCTAGGTGCACAAATCCCTTATACATCCCAGCTTAGCCATTTCCACTTACCAATATAATAAAAACCCCAAGATATTTATTTATCTTCATTGTTTGATGTTTAAGTAGAAATCTTTCAAGGCTTTTTTTATGATAAAGAATAAGAACAAAAGTTTTATATGTATTTAATAAATAAAAATATAAGTTTAAGAAAGTTATACTATAATAAATATTAAAAGAAAATGATGAGTATTGAAGAAGTGATAAATATTTAAAAGAAAAAGATAAGATTAAAATTAAAAGGGAAAAATTTTTCGAAAACTAAAGATAATTTTTCATGGGAAAATCATTACTGTGAGTCATTGTGATTAGTATGATGTAAGATTGTTTACGCGCTATACCCATTTCGTGTAGGTTGATCACGTTGTTTAACGTTGAATTAAATTAGAATAGAGTAAATATACATTTTTAACTTTTTTTTTCAATAACACACAAGGAAAAAACAGTCCACAGACGAAGGATCTCGGTAATAACCTCCATATAAAAACTGAAAAAATGACGAATGGTTTATTTTCTTTCCAAATAACAATAATAATAATAACAATCTTTCTTTGTTTAATCTTGAAATAAAAAACAAATAACCAATAACAATGTCAAGAGCAACTTCTATCTCATCTCAATTTCGAAGAATTCGATACTTTTTCGTAGACATCCAAGAAAATCCAACGGGTACTGTTTGTACATGTTCGTCAACTGAAGAGATTATACGATCGGCAGAAATTAATAGGGTTGATCGATTCATATTTTAATTTAATTTAGTATGAACATTGAATTAGGCAAATTATATTTTACAATAATAAGGGGGGTCATCAGGATGGAACAGATCATCAAATGTTTTAAAAAAAGAAGAAATACGAAATCCAGGGGCCTGGTATTTTTCTTATAAAAGAAAGTAGTAACTCTGAAGCTAAATTATTAATAAACACATTTAATAATTAATATTCACATAATTCAACCCAGCAGATATTTTTCAAACTAACTTCTTCACAAAGTACAGTAATCATGTTGATATTTGCTTCCTTTTATTGGCTGCACTTGTCATTGTCAATGCCGTTCCATATCAACTTCTTAAAAGAGGAAGAGACATAGGCTTGCCATGTTCAGCAAATCCTAGCAGTTCTTCCATCTATGCAAACCTTAAACCTTTCCCTCCTGTGTCTAATCAATCCGTTGATTATACAGTTTAAGGAGTAATGTTGGTAAAACTGAAATTGTAATTGCGTATGCTGATCAGAATGTCCTAGGTGATCTTTATATTAAGGTTTTGGATTTTCATTATGCGAAAGCAGCTACATTTTCAATTGATGTACCAGATGTTCCGACACCACTACTTCCTAGTAAATACGCGATTACAGTAATAATTGCAGATAACCCAAATAAACCAAAAATCCATGCCTGTTCATATGCTATTTTTGGTTAATGATTTTGCTGGTACTATAGAATAACGCGGCCTCCCTACCATGCAGTTTTTGTGCTGATAATATACATTTTTATTTCGTAGTGCAGTGTATAGTTATGAAATTACGCTGGACGTTATTTCCGTATTGAATATCAAAAACAACAAGGATTAACAGTCATTGAATAATATAATTTTCTAATTTACATTATGTAATAAGCGATCTTTTCGCAATTTTATTTTTTGTAATAGTTAGTAAATAATAAAGTACTAGGCATAACTCGTCGCGTTGCGCCGAGGATGATACTTACTCATCAAGTAATAGAGTAATAATAACACACTTATATTTTATTTGCCATGCAGTGTGAATAGGTCTAGTTTTTTACTATTATGGCCGTTCCAAACTAATAATTAGTTTAACGTCCTTTTTGGCTGAAAAATTTGAGGGGGGAGGGAAAATTTCGGAAATTTTCGGTAAAATTGGAAATCTTAGTACCACTCAACTTTAAAAAAGGAAGGGAGATGCTTTAAAACATATTTAGACATATGTTTAGATTACCCTTGAAAATTTTCAAAAATAATAAGGGGAGAATTTATTGTTTCACATTCCTTAATTTATAAGCTACTGCATGACTCAATAATTTTAAACATTTAATTTATTGGTATCAAATTTTGTAAATTATAAAAAGGAGTTACCCATTTGATAAATATTTATATAATGTAATGACCAAACTTAATATATACAAAATTTACATTTCAAAATTTACATTTTGATAGTACTTATCTATAAATTTATAATGGACTAGTATAATAAGCCATTTTGTATGGATGGTTTGCGTCTGCTGACTCTGCTCCCACACGAATATACTTGTCTCGTATTCATGAAAATGAAGCTCTAGACCTTTCAAGTTTCCGCGCATGAGTATGACTAATTCGTTGAGAAAAATAAATGGAAATGGAATGAAATATGTAGGGTAGAATTTATGAAATCTCTCTGACGTGAAGAATTACAGACTCTATATTTGTTATTTCTGTAAAAGCTTCGTAAAAATGAGCCTTTCCCGGATCTATTCACGGAAAATGTAAATAATGAGCCTTTTACGGAAAAAAGATGGAATACAAAAAAACGGATCAACTTTTTTTACAGGGAGAATGCGGAATCACAAAATATTCGCATTACTGCACTGTTAACTTTCTAGAGTTACGTGTTTTTATACACTATTAGATCTCTATTGTATTTAGATATCTTTAATCATTAAAAAACATATCTGTTTTCGATAATACCATCTGAACTGCAATCAGTTTTTTTGTTTAAATAACTAAAGGGGTTGACCCGAGTATATGAAATAACAACAAAAAACATGTCTCATTAAGAATTTCTTTAATATTATCTCTGACCGTGTCGTTGGAATAATACATATGGTACACGCACGTTTAACGTAATAATCGACATAGTGAAATTATTGGCTTGTCAGGCTTGACAAATTTGTGTGAAGTCACGTGAGGTGATATTCGTGCTAGGTGTTTTCCGTCTATACATCTTTCTATATAAGTAAATTATTGCAAATAAAATTTAGTAACTCGTAAACAGCGTAACTGTTTGTAAGTAAAACCAATTCTTGGCATACACAATAAGAACGAATTTGTCAAAACAATGGTGGTAGGTTACAAAACTCAAAATAAATACTATTAACCGGAATTCTTTCGTTGGACGATTATGGCTATTGATCATCTTTACAACAATAAAACATTATCACCGGATCACCCATTAAATTACGCGATACATTATTAATAACACTTAATTAATGTTTATGTATACATAGTACATATTGGGATATTTTTTAAAAAAAAATAAATAGATAAAATTTCATGGATCCTATGGGGAACTTTGTTCTGTTTATTTATAAGTTTTACAAAAAAAAGCATGGTAATACAAAAGTAAATAAAGTAATGTTAAAGTTTGGTAAATCATTCCAAAAATGTCCCTTGGATCCATGTAATTTTCCATCGAAAACTCGATAACGATAAATATTTTAAGGAGTATGCCGGACTAATTAGAGAGTAGAAGAAAGACCAATCACATTTATACAGTTTGGAAATCTTTTTTTTTTTTCATATTTTACTAAATTGATTTGATACTCATTTAAAATATGTATTGTAGCAAATTCCTAAATTCTTATATATAAAAGAACAGAACTTTCATATTTTTTTTTTAAAAAAAAACATGGTTGTTTCTAATAAAGGGGTTCTTTTTAAGGCCATCCCTACAGGACATCCTGTAATAGGAGAACATTTTGAAGTGGTTGATCGTACCATAGACATTGAAAATTTTAAATTAGGAGAGAACGAATTACTATTAAAAAATGCGTATATTTCTCTAGATCCTTATATACGTGAGCGTATGAGAGAACCTCATATAGAATCATATATTCCTNGATGTTGGTGTTTTCGTAACTATCGGTTGATTTGATTTTAATTTTTTAATCGCTATCATCAAACTCTATTAAGTATAATGACTTCTTTCAATATTTTAGTATGGATAAGATATATAATAAATATTCTTCTACTATTATTTATTAACTATAGTAGAATGATAATAAGATATAGTGATAGTTTATAAATTATTTGGCCAAAATAAAATTTTATATAATTTCAAAATGATACAAGTTATTGTACGTATGTACAGTTACCGGAGAAATTGGTGAATTAAAAATATTAACAATTCATTAATAAAAAGAAAACTCTTTAATTACCAAAGTAAACAATATTACCAAAAATATCTAAATAAATTATATATACGCAAATGAAACATCCACAATCCGTTTAAAAATAAATAAAAATCGTTTTTTGATGTTGAGAAGATTTTTTCCTTCTTATTCTTGATACAGGAGCGTTACTATACAGTAAGTTTTTTTCCTATATGGGTTTTCATTTACTGATTATGCTCGAAATATCGGTCCTTCCTGCTATCATAGTTATAGAATAAACGTGTAAGATAGTAAACTATCGTTTTGTATTTTTACTTTGTTTTATATATATTTTCGTTTTTTATTTTTTTTTTGGCTGTAAATATTCTTTTTTTTTTACTCAAACATTGTCTTTTTATATCAAAGACCTGTAAGGAGAATAATTTACTGTTTTACTAATAGGGTTTTATATCTCGCATGTGAATTTCATATTAGCGGCTAATTTGGAGTGTTATAGGTTTTTATTTTTCTTGATCGAGTATAGAAAAGAAATATATTTACTTGACACCTAAGCAGTATTTCCTTATTTTCTAACTTGTTATAGATCATCGTTATACAAGATTATTCATCTAAATTAGTGTAAATTGTAATCGAACTTTGCGTCTCTTAAATGTCTATTTTTGAAAATTACGTAAAAAAGAATGTGAGAATCACAGTATACAGTATGTTTATACTGTAGTTAAAAGATTAATACAAGCATATTATTTCTATATAATTCTATCATTTAATGTTGATACTCACGTGAATGTTTAGTCATTCAAATACATAAAAAATTTTAATTAAAATTTGTAGCAAAAATAATAAAAATCATAATCATGAATAAGTATAAACATTATTATATAGACCAGTAAAACATCAAATCGTCTTCCATAAAATATATAGTATTTAAGACTTGCAAGTGCAATATCTCATATAACTAAATACCAATAATAACTTTCCAAATACGAACTGATAATTAAACTATTTTTTGATATTATTATATAATAGGAGTAATTTTAAAATGATATCTTTACCATGATAGATTATAATGTATTGTTTATTTTTATTATAAATCTAATTAGTTTATTTTTCAATAAATGGTTAAATTGTTTTTTTTTTTAAAGATTAGGTGATGACGCCACGAGTTGTAATCGTCTGATCACTTGACCCAACCTGACCCGGTTGACAAATTAATATCTTATGTCAACTTATTAATAATTTAATAATTTCACTTTATAAATTAAAAAAGAAATTTGAAATTTCATAAACTGTAATAAATTGTCATTTTCAGTAGAAATGTTATCCAAAATGACATTTTTTTAAATTTTTATGTAATCGGCGTATCCAGTTCATAAATGGTCAATACCAAAATTGCCAACATTTCCGAAAAGGGTAATAAAAATAAGATGATATGAAACAATCAATATATTGATTAGGATCGAATTGCTTATTATCACTTATTAGACTTTCATTTTATATTTCGTTTTATACTTTGTGTTTAAATTTCTATTTCAGTTATAGTTTCATTTAGTTTCCTTTTTTGTCGATTCAACTTTATCATTTGATCCTTTTATTTTTGACTTCAATTATTTGATCCTTTATCTTTCTTATTGTTTTGATTTGTTTCATTTTGGATTCTTGTTTAATTTAATAATCCTTTCATTTGCATTTTCGTTCAGTTTTTCCATTATTTTTTAGGATAATTTGCAAAAAAAATATTTCAAGCGATTTAATATAATTTTTCATTTTATAATTCGATATTTAAAATCTTTTAAAACATTTTGCATAAATAACAAAATTATTTTTCGTTTATACATAAACTAATAATAAATTTATTCAATGAGTGATAATTTAATTTGACATTACATTACGTACTGCATGTTTTAATATTCTGGGTAGTTTAAAGATAACATTGATTTACATAAATGAATAATCAATAACTAACCAATTTTATAATTTATTTTTATTAAAACCAAATATTACATACAAAACCCATAAATAATAACTATATAAAAGAAATAATTTAATAATATAATTTTAATTAAACTAAATTCTTTGATTCTTATAAAAAAAAATTCATTCAGTATTATTTTCTTCTTCTTGATCACTTTCATTAAGATCTACAAAATAAGTAAATTAATAAGTATTAGCAAAATAAAGAACTAATGAATAAATATCTTTACCTAATTCGTCTAATTGACAATCAAAACATTCTGAACCTATAAATTAATTAACATAATATTAAAACAATGTAAAGATTTATTTATTAATTATATTGGTTACAAATAATTACTTACGTAATGTTGTTTTATTAGCATCTATTAAAAATTAAAGTTATTAGTAATGTAACTATTTTTTTTTGGTTACCAAAGTAAAGTTAAATTAACTACCTGAATTTACTGGTTCTGGGAGATTTTTGAAATTTAAAAGTCTACTAGTATAAATTGCTTGTGGATGTGTTTGAATGTTGTTAGCTCTTTTTTCACTTGTTCTGTTTAATTTGATCTTATCATTATATTCCTCTACTTGAGGTTTGGCATCACTATCTTTATCTACTTGAGATTCAGTATCAATATCATCAAATTCTTCATTACCACATTTATATAATGTTTGATACAATTCTTTAGCAGTTGGTCTATTTTCTGCTTTAGCATCCCAACATTTAGTAATCAAATCTGCAAGTAATTTTGGTGTATATTTAAAAATATTTGGTCAAAGTCCTTTACATATTTTAATAGATAAAGCATGATTATGAGGAATATTATTATAAGGAGTTTCTTCAGATATAAATTCATTCATCATTATTCCAAATGAATAAATATCAGATGTTTTTGTATATTGATATCCACGTAAAACTTCTGGTGCCATATAAGGTAATACTCCATAAATTCCTTCTTGTTTAACTGATTGCTTTTCATTATTTGCTGGTTGGCACATTCCTAAATCACTTATAAGTGGACGATAACTATGTAATATATTCCCTGAATGAAAATCTTTATGAACTTTTCCAGAATTATGAATATCTAGAAGTCCTCTTGTAATTTGGTGTAATTTACTAATTTTTGAATAATAATCTGATTCATTATTGAGATAGTAATTTCTTAAATTTCCATCTTTACAATATTCTAAAATCATCATATAATCTTTGGTATTTGGATCTTGAGTTATTCCATAACATTGAATAACATCACAAAGATAAATCTGAAGATGAGTTTTAATCTAATGAAAATATTGAAAGTGAAAATTTTTAATAATATATAAGTAATACATAAATAAAAATAAAGTAAGTAGATTACATTTCTTATTTTAATTACCTCATTTAAAAATTCTGTACTTATACAAGATGAATTATCCAAACTTTTTAATGCAACTTTTTTGCTAATCCTATCCCATTTTTGATTTTCAATATCCCAAGAATAAATATATCCTTCAGGCCATTCAGCTGAATGGATTTTACCAAATCCACCTCTAGTAATATAAGTAATATCTTTAAAATTTTCAAAAGGTATCCATTCAATATATTTTGTATAATGCACAGTATTAAGTTGTGATTGTTGTATAAATTCATCAATATCTTTATTTCCACTAGTCCAATTTTTAAAGTTATTCTTAAATCTTTTAGCATTACAAGGTTGACACCAATCTTCTCCTGTGCCAGGTTCATTACATTCTCCACATATTCCATATGCTTGTTTTCTTTTTTCTAAATCTTCCATATAAACTATTATATCATCTATCTCTTCTGCTGATTCAGTAGTTGAACCAATAGTAGAAATTGTAACATGACACTTTTAAAATAAATAATTTAAAAAAACATTATTATTCAAATTAAAAATTCAATAATGTTATATTATTAAATGATAAAATGAATTTGTTTTACCTGATATTCATCATAATCAACATCTTTCCATAAATTTCTATTATTTTCTTTAGAATTCATTTTTGATAATTCCATACTAAATCAATTTGTATTGTATATATGTAGATTACAATTTACTTAGTATTAAAATTCAAAGATAGCGTTAACCATATAATAAAATGAAACTTAAAAAAATTTTTTTTTTAAAATTACGGAGTTCAGACAAATTTATTCAACAAATAAAGCCTGTGCAGAATGTGTAACATTCAAAATTTTGAATACAAAATTCTACATATAGTATTAATCTGATTGATAAAAATAAAATACTTTGTTACGCTATTGATCGGCATAAAAGAAAAAAAGGAAATTTTCAATAAACAATCGGATTGAATGAAACCAAATAAAATAATTTACAGCCTAATAACTAGGTTGTAACTTGTTACGTTGCAACAGGATTAATATAGTTTAAGTCAAATATAACAAATAAATATTTAGGTAAATTAGATATATTAGTGTTAATTATAAATAAATGAAAAAATGAATAAAAAAAAAATAAATTGAGAAGTAAATAAAAAAATGAATAAATAATAAAAAAAAATTCAAACTTTAAGAAACTGAAAAATAAAATATTTTTTTTAAAAAATTGAAACCAATTAAAATCGTCTTTTTTTTTAGCTTGAAAAAAAAAAATTGAAAACTGAAAAATAAAAAACCAATTTTTTTCGGTTTGAAAAAAAAAAAATTTGAAAATTTTCGGTCTATAAGAACCAGAAAAAGGTATTTAAAAAAACAATAAATTTCCCGGTTATCTCTAAAAAAAATTGTCTAACGTTTGGATTAGTCTCCGTATAAATAATTTGAATTGTGTAACTTGAAATCACATGCCATATAATTAAAATTTAAAACTCGTGACATGCCTATACT